CTCCTCGCATTGTTCTGTCCTCCGAACAGCGTCGGTCCAGGCGCCTGGCTTCCATAAAATAGCTGCGCAAACGATTCCTTTATATTCTCCCACAACGGAGGACTGGGCGAAGCTGGCATTTCGCCAGAGAGAAAGACGGCATAGGTCAGGCGCGTGTCAAAGTTGGAAGGGTCCGAAAGTAGCGCTTCTTTAAAGAGAGCATCGGCAGAACGCGTGATCTCCTTTTCGCCTCGCGCACTGGCAGACGTGGCCTGCAAGAGCGCAAGTCGCACCTTGGCATCGACGTATTCCGTGTGCGCAGACAAGACCGCTTCGTATGCCGCGGTGGCATCGCGAAGATTCTCGACCGAGCCTCCGATCTCCAAAGCTCGTGCCAGATTGTACAGCGCCGTTGTTTTTTCGGCGTCCAAGAGACCCGAAGAAGAGGAGGTCGTGGTGCTCGCTCCGCGTGAAGCTTCGTACGCCTTGGCTTCCTCTAGCGCGCTCTGCAAATGTCGAATGGCACTGCTGAGCGAGCTAGACCTCAGTTGAGCGTCCGATGAACTCTCCATAGCCATGATACCATGCAGAGCGCCCAAATTATTTCTCAAGCGCACGACGAGCACCGTGTTGCCTTCCTCGTCCTTCTCCTTGGTGTGCGGGCGACCAAGCAGCACCGCTCGGAGTGCAGCAATGTAAGCGCTGCAAGCCGAAGAGAGGTTAGGTCGAGCACCGCTCTGCCAGAGCTCGGCCAGCTGTACGTGTATCAGAGGATCATCGCCCAGCTTTGCCATTCCCTCCAAGCTCCTGAATGACAGTGCTTCTCCGACCAGTGGGCTTCTCGCCAGCACAAGCGCATGGTCCAGCTCCTGCGTCTCGCTTGAAGCTTCCAGAGACTTCTCCTCCAGTCCATCGTCCGGTACTCTGCCCCTGGTGATGAGCCTAGCAGCTTCGACGGCTCTCAAGCACCTCTCCAAAAGCGGTCTGGCCTTTTCCCTATCCGCCTCCCTTTCCAACGCCGTAGCGCCAGGATGAGAAGAAGCTCTCAAGCAAGCCAAGAGCAGAGCGCACTCCATC